AAAAAGGGCCCCCCCCCCCCCCCTCCGAAACTATTCAGTGTAGCAGTTAGAAGGCTGTAATGTTACAAATTTAATGATAGCGTGAAATCAAATTAGTTGTAAGTTAAAAATGTGGTGAGTAAAAATGAAATAAATATTGTTTTATTATCATAGAAAGAGTTGGGTCTGCTGTATAATCATAAGAGAGGAGAAAAGTTTTCCGATTTGGTAATCCAGGAGTTTATGTTTATGAATTTTATTAATTATGTTAATGAAAGATAAAACTGCGACTGTTATTTAATTGAATTAGGAATTTAAGCGAAAACTATAGATAATGAGAGAGAGAGAGAGCAATATAAGATCAAATACAAAAGAAAAATGTAAAACGAACGAATATTGAAATTATAAACAAATGGTAATGATTTTTATTGCAAAATGCATGCAAAGAAAGAAAAAGGCTTCAGTCCAAGGAATGAAATAAGACATAAATGCCTAACATTAAAACTGCTATTTGCTGTTCTTAGCCAACGATTAATTTTTTAGAGTAAATTGAATAAAAATCATCAAAAAATTAAAGGCAAAGAAAAAAGGTATTAAAATAAAATGCCATTATTGGACATAAGAACGCGAACTTAAACGTTTGAAATAAATAAAAAGACAAATTAAAAGATTGTTTAACCTAACAATAAAAATGGAGTAGGGGGGTTATTCGAAATTGGTTGGGCAGTAATGGTGTGTTCATTTGAGTTTCTTGATGTTTGTTATTCTTTTCTCTAATTAAGTGTATCTAGTAGATTTAATTATTTTAGTTTCATTTACCGATACCTTGCGATTTGAAATGAAATTCCTTTAATAATCGGCTTTGGTGTCAAGAAATCACCTTTTGCAATGAATGATTTAAAGGCCTGTGGGTGACGCGAAGTACTTCTGATTCAAAATGATGTCGTCAAATAGGCGCTCGGATATTAACTAAAGCCCTACCGCAAGTTTAAACTAACTTACCTAAATCGGAAGATTGTATTTGTATTCTATTTATATACAATAAATTCATAGTTTGGTAATGTTTTGATTCACGTATTTCTTTTGTTTTGTTTCTGTATTTCCCTTAGAACAGAGCAAACATTGGATGTAAACCTTCGATTCGTAAGTGGATCAAAGAGAATGTCATCTATTCATCATTAAGTTATGACAATTATTTAATGATGACTTTGAAATTTCTTTATAAAACAGGTAACAAGTTAATGGCTTAAAATATTCTGAAGAAGTATCTACACTAAAAGATGTTATTCGGACGATTCACACAAATGTGAGAATCATGTGATCATTATAAATCCCATGGAATTCACATGCAGTTATGAAAAAAACGAAGAGAGATGTAAGTAAAGGAAATAATATGCAAAATTAATTTTCCTGATATAGAATAGCGACGAGGTAGTCTCTTTTCAATTCAAGGAAGTCTGGAGCGTCAGTGTGAACATGATATGGAGGCACAGAAGAGTCCATAGAGATGTGGGCAATGGCGTTGTAACCTTGTTGCCTAGATGCTGAGTCACAATTGTGACATAATGTGGAATAACGGAGCTGGGAATTAGCGCGAGGAAGTGAGGTGAAGTGAAGTGTAGAGTGGAGTTGAGTTGAGTCGCCTCTTCTTCAATGCACAGTGCCGAGCTAAGTACGTGTTTTCTATGCAGTAGTGTTTGTTGTAGCGGAGGCAGAGGCTGCGGAGGAGGAGGTTGGTGTTTGTTGAGTAGTGGTGGTCTGATCGGTGGGTGCGGGTGAGTCGCCACCGTGGGTCAGTAGGTGATAGGAGCGATGTTTTGTGCGCATTTTGTAGGAAAGCGGTGAGTGAGAACGGCAACGTGGAAGGTGGATGGCGGCGATAAAAAGGAGGCGTTGAGGAGGTGGGATGATTGTGGGGTGCGTCGGTGAGTTGTATTGGAGATATTTAGATGAGACGTATTGTTGCTTTGTTTTTGCGGCAGTTGGTGGTAGGCGGTGCGTGCTCTCCAGGGTTCGTGTAGAGTGGAGAAAGGCGGTGGATGAGACGGCGAAGGAAGATTGAACTGCGAAATAGTTGCGTTTGTCAGAGAAATTATGAGCATGAAGTGGTGCTACAGCAGAAGCCATGGTGATGTGGGTAAAGGCGTAGTAACCTTGTTGCCTAGATGCTGATGAC